AAACAATACAGCAAAACAATAAGAAAAACAAAAACACTTAAAAACACATCCAATATTTCCGTATCTTTATCTTTCATTTACTGGTTTCATCAACCTCCTCACACCTCCCTTTTTTGTATTCTAGTTCAATTAGCTATTTCAGCAAATCCTTTCCATCTTTCTCAATTTTTGTTCTATAATATATCTTAACACAATCTGACCTTAAATTTTACAGTTTGGACCATTGACAATCTATTTTTACTTAGTTCTTTATAACATTTCTGCTAAAACCATGTAGCTTCATTCCAGCATCCTTCTAACATTCATTAATTTTTACAGTATTTCTGTAAATATACTTTGAATTTCTTCCAATCTTCTTCCACTGACTCTTCTCCCTGGTCTCGGATTCTGCCAGTCATTTCCGCCAGTTCCATGTAGTCCATCAGCTTCATCTGCCATTCTTCCCGGGTGGGTAGATCTTGTGTCTTCCAGTGCTTTGCAATGAGTATTCTTGCTGCTGTCGTAGCATACATAAAAAAAGTTCTATCCTTCTTTGGCACCAATTGGATGACCATGCCAAGGAGAAAGGCCTCTGGTTTCCTCAGGAAGGTATATTTAAATACCTTTTTCATTTCATTATAAATCATCTCCCAGAAGTTCTTAATCCTTGGGCATGTCCACCAAAGGTGAAAGAATGTACCTTCAGTCTCCTTACATTTCCAACATTTATTGTCAGGCAAATGGTAGATTTTTGCAAGCTTGACTGGTGTTATATACCACCTATAGATCATTTTCATTAGATTCTCTCTTAAGGCATTACATGCCGTAAACTTCATACCTGTGGTCCATAACTGTTCCCAGTCAGCCGCCATAATGTTATGTCCAACATCTTGTGCCCATTTAATCATAGCAGATTTCACCGTTTCATCCTGAGTATTCCATTTCAACAGCAAGTTATACATTCTTGACAAATTCTTAACTTTGGGATCTAACAATTCTGTTTCCAATTTTGATTTTTCCACCTGGAAGCCTAGTTTTTTGTCCAAATTATATGCCTCCATTATTTGATAATAATGAAGCCAGGCTTGCACTCTATTTTTTAATTTTTCAAAGCTCTGCAGTTTTAGTCTATCTCCCTCTTGCTCCAGAATTTCCCAATACTTCGGCCATTTGGCCTCCATATTGAGTTTTTTTCTGAGCCTTTGCTTCCATTGGTGACAGCCATCTCGGGGTTTTATTTTCTAGCAGATCTTTGTATCTTATCCAGACATTAAACAGTGCTTTCCTGACAATATGGTTTTTAAACGCTTTATGTGCTTTAACCTTGTCATACCACAGATACGCATGCCAACCAAATACATTGTTAAAACCTTCCAAATCCAACACGTCGGTATTTTCAAGAAGCATCCATTCTCTCAGCCAACAAAAGGCGGCTGATTCATAATAAAGTTTAAGGTATGGCAGGGCAAATCCACCTCTTTCTTTAGCATCAGTTAATATCTTAAATTTTATACAAGGCTTCTTGCCCTGCCAGACAAATCTAGAGATATCTCTCTGCCACTTCTTGAAACAGTCCATTTTGTCCAAAATTTGCAATGTTTGAAAGAGAAACAGCATTCTTGGCAATACATTCATTTTTATCACAGCAATTCGACCTAGCAACGATAACTTCAAATTTGACCATATTTCTAAGTCCTTTTTCACTTCAGTCCAACATTTTTCATAATTATCCTTAAATAAATTCACATTCTTAGCAGTCATATTAACCCCTAGATACAGTGGTGCCTCGCAAGACGAAATTAATCCATTCCGCGAGTCTCTTCGTCTTGCGGTTTTTTCGTCTTGCGAAGCACGGCTATTAGGGGCTTAGCGGCTTTAAGAAACAGGAAACAAACTCGCAAGAACTCGCAAGCCCATAGGGAAATTCGTCTTGCGGAACGACTAAAAAAACGGAAAACCCTTTCGTCTAGCGAGTTTTTCGTCTTGCGAGGCATTCGTCTTGCGGGGCACCACTGTCTTTCTTGACCAGTGTTAATCCTGTCTCCTTCTGAAACTTGTCTCTCTCAATCTCAGATTTTTCTCTAAAACCTTAGTTTTCGTCTTGTTCAACTTAAAACCTGCTACCTGATCAAATTCTTGGATCAGTTCCAGTACTTTTTTAGTACTAGATTCTGGCTCCTGTAAAGTCAATACCAAATCATCAGCAAATGCTTTCAGTTTGTACTGTTTGGCTCCCACTTGTATACCTTTTACCAATTGGTCCTTTCTAATCATATTTAGCAAAACCTCCAGTACCGATATAAAAAGCAATGGAGAAATTGGGCAACCTTGTCGTGTTCCTTTCTCAATCTTAAATTCTTCCGTCACTACGTTATTCACAATTAATTTAGCCTTCTGTTCTGAGTAAATTGCACCTATACCATTTCCAAAACCTTGACCAACCCCCATCCCCTGTAAATTCTTCTTCATAAAACTCCAAGAAATTATTATTTGTGAGAGTGAAATTACCTGCCTCTCTGCTCTATGATTGGGTGCCTCAATTTTAAAAAATCCCTTTTAGAATGAGGCTATGAAGAAAAGTCTGATGGAAGCGACAATTCTAATAAGCAAAGCGCTTCCACCCATAAAGTGGAGCCGAGTACCTGCCTCATAGTAAGTAAATAATTTTTTTTACAAAGCCCTGAACATCTTAGGTCCAGGGTGCCTCAGGACCCTGTTCTACCTCCACAGCGGAAGGCAGCAGTGTTTCTGAATATCAGTTGCTGGAAGCCCCAGGCGGGGAGAGGGAGAGCTCTGTGCAGGTGAAAAATGGATCTTATTCCCAGATCCAGGAGGCCCACTCTTCTCCCATAGTTGTCAAGTGGGCTTGGCTGGAGAGAGAGCACAATTCAGGGCTTGGTGTGGTGGTGGCAGGGATGGTGTCTCCTGTTCTGACATGCTGTGTGCTTCCCCACAACAGGATATTATCGCAGAGGAGCCCCAGGGGGGCTTCTTAGTCACCGCCCTTAGACAAGCAATAGAGGCTGTAATCCATCTGACGTAAGTACGGTCACTGCCCCACCTATTCCTGGAACCTCCCTTGCCATACCCTGAAATTGTACCCTGTACTTCCCCACAACAGGAAGTTATTGAAGAAGAGCCCCAGGGCTCCTTCTGCGTCGCCCTCTTGAGACCAGCGATGGAGGCAATGACCCACTTGACGTAAGTATGGGGAGGTACTTCTAGTTTCCCTACAGCTTGTCACTGCCCCACCTATTCCTGGCACCTCCCTTGCCATACCCTGAAATTGTACCCCTTGGCCAGACACAGTGCACCCAGTTTATGGACTGCTGGGTGCTGATCATTTCCTCCCCCCTTCATTCTCTTTCCTCTTCAGTGCCCACTCTTCTCCCCTAGGAGGACCCACTTGCCAGTTGCAAAGAAGGTGTCAAGTGGGCTGGGCTGGAGAGAGAGCACAATTCAGGGCTTGGTGTGGTGGAGGCAGCGATGGTGTCTCCAGTTCTCTGACATGCTGTGTGCTTCCCCACAACTCTTTCCTCTTCAGTGCCTTGAGACCACCTCTGAATTCCTTGCAGGCGTCTCCCAGGACCAGCCCAATACATTCTCCACCCTCACTCCTCCCTGTAAGGAGGCATCTCTAAATCACAGCAGTCCTGACACTGTCTCAGCTTCCTGACATATTAAAGTGCCCTCTTAACCTATTGACAGAGTTGCCCAAATTGTCTGAAGGCACATACACGGGTGGCCTCCTTGTCAGTGACCCTTTGTAGAGGTCACTTTGGTGACTGATCTTTGCATTTTGTTTTCTGGTGAAATTCTCAGCCCTGCTCTCCTACCACCTGGTTCCATAATTATGCTCCACAGCTGCTGAATTAGCACTTTTTCTGTGAGCTTTGGATCATTTCCCCTCCCCTTCTTTCTCATTCCTCTTCAGTGCCTTGCAGCCACCTCTGAACGCACAGGTTAGATCGGAGCTGGTGGAGAAAACCATCATGAAGGTCTTCTCTCTGACGAAGCTGAGAGAAGGGAGCCCCAGGCAACCAGCAGAGATGCAGGTAACTGGACCTTCTGCTTCTAGGGATCTGAACGGAGGGAAATGGCTTGTCGGTACAGCCTGGAACTGTGGCCAGATTTTTAAAAATTGAGGGCAAAAAGGCTGAGCCATGTAAGCTACGAATAATGCTGCCAGAGATACTTGGCTCATCACAAAGATGTAACAACCAGAGACCCTGGGTGTATATTCTTGAGTCTCTCGGTATGTGTGTCATTTAAAAGGTCTTCCCTCACCTGGGTAATGGACAGGTGGTATAGAAATAAAGTCTTACCACAACCACCACCCCTGTGGCTCTTTCCCCAACTTCAAAGGATATCTTGCCTTCATTCTGGTTACGGGCTGCAAAAAGGTTTTCATTCTTTGAAAAGAAATAGAGTTGAAGAATGTGTCCTTCTCCAGGTGTGCTGCCATTGGCCCCAGTCAGCATGGCCAACAGTCAGGAGTAGTTGGAGTCCAATAACCAGGCATGGGGAACCCGAGGTGCTCCAGAAGTAGAACAATAGAGCTTCTGTTTTGGATCCACAAGGTCCCAGGTTCAATCCACAGCATCTCCAGGTGGAGCTGAGAAAAGACTCTCTGTCTGAAACCCCAAAGGGCCAACTGCCAATTATCATCTGTAGACGACACCAAGGTTGGAGGATCAATGGCTGGGCTTGGTCTAAGGAGATTGCTATGGCTGTGGTGTGGTGTAGGTTGTATTATTGCATTTATCATATAAACACACAAATGACAGATCACAACATAAAAATACAAAATCAGAACACAAAATGCTTAATAAAACAAAAACAACTCAAGAGCCAATTAATATCTAATTCTACTAACGTTGAATTTTTTTTTTAAATGGCTTCTTTTTTCTATATCTTTATTTCTTATTTTGTTTATAAGCTGCCTTCAGTCCCTTTCAGGGAAAAAGGTAGGGTTAATAATAATAATAATAATAATATAAAGTAAAACAAATAGCAGCAAACTTTCTCCTTTACAAAACAACCCCTTTTTGCAAGTTGTCCCCTCTATGGTCCTGGGATGATTCATCGAACTAGTAGCCCAAGCTTTATGAATTTGCAAACCTGGATTAATGGTGGTTCTTCCATATGATGATTATTAAAGACCTGTGAGCAGGAAAGAGCTGTACCAGCTTCCTGTTGAAGTACGTCTCTCAACATTGAACCTAGATGTGAGTAAGCAGGTGTCAAACTGACTTCTGGACCAAGGCTTAACCAGATCAGGAAGCTAGTGAGTCGGAAAGGCTTCAAGTATTGTTTGTGGTTGTTCTTGTGTTTGTTTTATTTTTGTTATTGAAAATTTAATAAAATTATTATATATCTATATAAATTTAGAACCTTTTTCAACACAGACACATTATAGACACACATCTAAGCATGGGTATTTCTTAGATCCCAGCCCTTGTCTAGGCATTTGTGTCTGCTTTGTGCAAGGGTTGAAAACAACCATCCATTTCTCTGGTGACATAACAACTCAACCCTCTAATAACTCGTATAGGGTGATCCTACAGCACAGGGCCCCAGCCCCATAGCTGTACTCCTGCCAGGACAAGAGGAGCTCAACAAGGATGCAGCAGCAGTTCTCCTTCCACCTGCTGCATCCATTTTGTACAGAAAGGGGAGACTTGGCCTTGAAGAAGGGTACTTCTTCAGCCAGCCTTACAAATGTCAAAAAGTTACTAGCCTGCAATATTTGTTTTGCCCTCTCCTCCAAAGTCAGCATGGAAACGCAGCAAAAAAGTGCCTTCTTTCATGAAGGATGGTGGAGGAGAGACACTCTGATAGTCCACTGTGTTTCTGTGATGACTGTGGATGAGACAAGACTACTCTTCCTTAACAGCTAGCCAAGAAATCAAGTGAGCTGGCTGCTCAGTCACTTGCATGAAATTCCTGGTTGCCTGGGGCTACTAGGCAAGTCGTCAAATACTAGGCATTCTTCAGTGATTTTAGAACCAATCCCTTTCACCTTTTGAGTCTTCGAACACATGGATTTCTCCATCCCCTTAGGTGCCACTTTGAATTGGCGAAGGCTAACAATACAATACTTTTTCCCCTCTGAGAGCTTGCCATTTCTTGCCAACAGAGGCCTGTGGGACAGGTCACAAAGAATGAACAAAGAGTTTGTACCCCTTCTATGTGAGGCCTCTTGAAGAGCATGACTGGGAGTTGTGGCTTGACATTACCAAGAAAACATGCCCTTCTGGGTTCAGCTACTCCTTTCAAAGAAGTCTTCAAAAGCTAATAAACTTCTTATCTTTGTACCGACCTGCTGCCCAGGCACTTGTCCTGTACTTTTCCAGGCATCCACTGGGTCTGGAGCAGCAGCTGCAGGCACCTTTGCCTTCACTTCCCCTTTCTGAACTTTCAGCAGGTGTCTTGCTCAAAAATTCCTCTCTTTGGAAATTCCTAGAGATTGAGCAGACAAGATCAGAAAAAACGTCCAAGTTGTTCTTACAAAGCACTTCCCAAACAAGCTTCCCCCCCAAAAGAGGAAATGAAAGCAACACCAAAGAAAGAAAAGCTTAAGCAGCCCAGAAAAAAACTCTTAATGAAGAAAAACAAACCAGCCCAGACTTGAGAAGGCCCAAGGATAACCCTGCCCAACACCAAGAACCATGCACCTTGGACTTACTCTTCCCATCCGGAGACAGGGGCCGAACGTTTGGTTGAAAAGTCCTGCAGGGTTACACCATAGACCAAAGATTAATAGTCTTTTTATAGACCCCAGTTGCCTGACTATACTCCAAAGGCACAGGGTCCAGGTCAGTAGTAAATGTAGGTCAGTAGTGCAGCAACAGTTACGTGCACCCAGAATATGACCACATGGAGTTATCGTAAGCTGCTCATCTAGCACTTTTAAGCGGGAGATGCAAGATGTGTGCCCCCCCCCGAGATGTTAGAATCACAGACCTGCAGAATTAGAAGGAATCCTAGGGGTCCTCTAGTCCAACCCCCTGAAATGCAGGAAAATGCAGGTGGCCGTTACGAAGATCGAACCTGCAACCTTGGCATTGTCAGCACCACGCTCTAACCAACCGAGCTAGCTAGTGCAGGGGGGCCTTCTTCTGTAGAAGTGCAATGCGAGGCCTCCCACAACCTACTCACTTTGCCTCTGGGAGCCTGGAGGTCGGAGCCTCCCTTTCTAGCTCCATACAGAAGTAGGACCATTTGGGGGCAGGGACGGTCAGTCTTTCCTGTTGTGAGTGGGACGCCTCATTCTGGGGCCGAAAGAGGCTCTGGGTCTCTTTCGCAGGGTCCCGGGCTCGGGGGTCCCTGGGTGAAAGGGAGAGGCTATGGAGACACACAATATCATACATAGGACCCCCCAAGGGCCATGCAATATACGTCTCCCCCCCCCCCACCAGCCCTGTCTTCATCCCAAGGACGCGAGGAGGGAGCGACAAAGAGGCTCTGGCTCTCTTTCGCGGGTCCCGGGCTCGGGGGCAACAGCCGAGATCTTGAAGCAACGGCCAAGTGCCAACGGCCCCCCGCCCTGCCACGCCCCCCGCGCCCGACTCTCGCCTCCCACTGGCTGAGAGGACCCGGGCTTCACCCAGATACCGAGTCGGAAGAGCCGGCCAATGGGGAGGCCTCGAATCGGGCACGTGAGAAAGGAAAGAGGGGTTGGAGCCAGCTCGCCCACTGCCTTCTGGGAGTCGTAGTAAAAGGTAGTAAAAGGTAAAGGTACCCCTGCCCGTACGGGCCAGTTCGTGTCCGATTCTAGGGTTGTGCGCCCATCTCACTCAAGAGGCCAGGAGCCAGCGCTGTCCGCAGACACTTCCGGGTCACGTGGCCAGCGTGACAAAGCTGCATCTGGCGAGCCAGAGCCGCACACGGAAACGCCGTTTACCTTCCCGCTAGTAAGCGGTCCCTATTTATCTACTTGCACCCGGGGGTGCTTTTGAACTGCTAGGTTGGCAGGTGCTGGGACTGAGCAACGGGAGCACACCCCGCCGCGGGGATTCGAACCGCCGACCTTTCGATCGGCAAGCCCTAGGCGCTGAGGCTTTTACCCACAGCGCCACCCGCGTCCCCGGGAGTCGTAGTACCTGCCCTCTATTCTTCCCCCCAGAGAACGGAAATGAATGACAGGGAGGACTGCGTTTCCCGACAGCCAACGTGGTGCGGCTTCTGAGCTGCGGGTTGCGAGAAGAGGCAAAAGTGCTGTTTTCCCTCCCAGGTGTGCAGGTGCAGGTGGTCAGAGGCTGATGCGGGAGGGAGGAGGAGGAAAAGGGAGGAGAAGGCCCTGCGCAGCCTCAGCAGCTCCAGCCACACCAAGCCCTACCTGGAGAAGCTCCCCTGGCATCCCTGGTTGGCATGGAAACTGCCAAGGGATGGAACCGCAAAGAGCCTTTCTTCCCTCCCTTGTTCATTCCATGGCGCTTCCTCCCCTCCTTCCCAACAGCCCTAGGAGGGAGGCCAGGCTGAGAGGCAGGGACTGCCAGGCCCCCCCCCCCGAGCTCTTCCTTTTTTATTCGCACAACAGCCCTGGGAGGTCAGCCAGAAGGAGAAGCACGGAAAATGCTCTAAGGCTGCTTATTTTATTGCATTTATATCCCGCCTTTTTCTCCGAGGAGCCCAAGGTGGCACAGATGGTTCTCTCCCTCCTCGTTTAACCCCCACAACAACACTGAGGTAGGTTACTCTGGCAGGCACTGATTGACACACACACCCGACGTCACCCTTAATGGCCGAGTGGGGATTTGAACCCTGGTCTCCCAGGTCACAGTCCAACACTCTAGCCACTGCACCACACTGCCTCTCCTTCGACTTTGCTATGGCAGAAAATCCTGCCTGGAGCCTCCCATCTTTTGGACCTGACCTTCGGCACACTTGCCCCCCCAAAATTAGTTACCTTTGTTTGGAGGAAAAATATCTGCTACTTTCCCCTTTTCTTCTTCTTTTTGAAAGGCATGCCTTCTCCAAAGTGTACATGTGATCTTCTCTTTTGCCCCTGGGATATTTCTAATCTAACATCCAGGCTTTTAAGGCAGAATTTCCTACAGTGGTACCTCGCAAGACGAACGCCTCGCAAGACGGAAAACCCGCTAGACGAAAGGGTTTTCCGTTTTGGAGGCGCTTCGCAAAACGAATTTCCCTATGGGCTTGCTTCGCAAGACGACAGCCCATAGGGAAATCTCCGGGACAGCGGGGAAGCGCAGCGCGTCTTCCCCGCTGTCCTTGGACCTCCTCCGAAGCCTGGTGGCGGGGCGGGGACACCTCCTCCCGCTGCCGCCGGGCTTCGGAACGATGCCCCGATGCCGGGCGGGGGGGGGGGGAACGCCTCCGCCGCCGCCCGCCATCGGGACGATGCCCCGATCCCGGGCGGCGGGGGGGGAACGCCTCCTCCGCCGCCCGCCATCAGGACGATGCCCCGATCCCGGGCGGCGGGAGGGGAACGCCTCCTCCGCCACCCGCCATCGGGAGGATGCCCCGATCCCGGGCGACGGGAGGGGAACGCCTCCTCCGCCACCCGCCATCGGGACGATGCCCCGATCCCGGGCGGCGGGGGGGGAAAGCCTCCGCCGCCGCGCGCCATCGGGACGATGCCCCGATCCCGGGCGGCGGCGGGGGGAACGCCTCCGCCGCCGCCCGCCATCGGGACGATGCCCCGATCCCGGGCGGCGGGAGGGGGGAACGCCTCCTCCGCCGCCCGCCATCGGGATGATGCCCCGATCCCGGGCGGCGGGGGGGGGAACGCCTCCGCCGCCGCCCGCCATCGGGACGATGCCCCGATGCCGGGAGGCGGGGCGGGAAGCCTGGGCGCGCTGATCGCAGCGCGCGCAGGCTTCGGCATGCTGGCACCTGTCCGCAAGCAGCGGCAGCGCTGCCGCTGCTTGCGGAGAGGTCCGCGAAGCCTGGGCCGGACAGCTTTTGAAGGCAGGCGGGGGGAGCAAAGACTTTTGCCCCCCGCCAGCCTTCAGAAGAGGTCCAGGACCTCTTCTGAAGGCTGGCGGGGGCGAAAGTCTTTGTCCCCCCTGCCTGCCTTCCTAGGGGCTTTTAAATCGCCCCGGACAGCGGAGAAGTCCTCCGCTGTCCCGGGTGATTTTAAAATGCCGCCCGTCAGCATTTTAAGATCGCCCCGGACAGCGGAGACGTCCTCCGCTGTCCCGGGCTTTTTTAAAATGCTGGGGGTGGGAAGAAAAGCCCTTGTCCCCCCCCCAGCCTTCAGAAGAGGTCGGGGGACAGACTGTCCCCGGACCTGGTCTGAAGTCGGTTTCCCTAGGAACGCATTAATTGATTTTCAATGCATTCCTATGGGAAACCGTGCATCGCAAGACGAAAAACTCGCAAGACGAAGAGACTTGCGGAACGAATTAATTTCGTCTTGCGAGGCACCACTGTATTTGATCTAGGACCAATGGGTCAGCAAACCTTTTCAGCAGGGGGCCGGTCCACTGTCCCTCAGACCTTGTGGGGGGCCAGACTATATTTTTTAGGGGGAGAGGGAATGAACGAATTCCTATGCCCCACAAATAACCCAGAGATGCATTTTAAATAAAAGCACACATTCTACTCATGTAAAAACATGCTGGACCGTCTGTGGGTCGGATTTAGAAGGCGATTGGGCCGGATCCTGCCCCTGTGCCTTAGTTCACCTACCCATGATCTAGGATTTGGTTCAAGCCCCAACAGAACCTGCCGCTCACTCATCCCTTGAAACCTTTGTGCAACTGATGCAATATGCAATCTCCCTCCATCCCCATCCTGCCTGTTTCCCCTATGATCTCAGAAGAACCACATTTATTCTGTTTATAATTTGCCAGCTTGTTAAATGCCTCCCATGGCAGCGGTGCGGAGGAGGAAGGCCCCGCTGGAAGATTGGTCCTTTGCATAAAGGAGATCCGTAGTTTTGTATTAAGGCTGGAACTAAATTATTTTAGGCGTGAAGCCCAGGAGACAGCACCACAGACTGTTCTGCCGGGAGCCCAGGGGGATGAACTAAATGACCTAACAGGATTTCCCCCATCTTTTACCCTTGACAGTTCAAAGGGCTCCCTAAAGGCGGGACCCCCTATCTGTCCTCTTTTCCATGCAAAAACCTAAGATCTGCCTGCTTGACAGCTTCCAAACATTGCGTGCTGTGCGGCACCTTTCTTCCTCTAATTCCATCTTCCTGCAGCTGGTGACCTGTAGGAGTTTTGCAGCTGATGGAAGCTGTAATAATAATAATAATAATTTTTTATTTATACCCCGCCCTCCCCAGCCAAGGCCGGGCTCAGGGCGGCTTACAAGCAATAATAAAAACAAGTTGAATGATTACAACTTAAAAACAAAATTAAAATACAACATTAAAATATTGAAACATTAAAATATTAAAATGTAGCCTCATCGCAGGAGGAGAAGGAAAACAAAAAAGAGAGGGAGGGAATCAAATTGGCTCCAAGCCAAAGGCCAGGCGGAACAACTCTGTCTTACAGGCCCTGCGGAAAGAAATCAGATCCTGCAGGGCCCTGGTCTCATGAGGCAGTGTTCCACCAGGCCGGAGCCAGTGTTGAAAAGGCCCTGGCTCTGGTTGAAGCCAATGTAACTTCCTTAGGGCCCGGGACCACTAGGGTGTTTGAAATATACTCATGAGTCGCAAAGTGATTTCATGCTCTTTATTCAGCTCATAGTGGTGAGGAGGAATGAATGAAAGTCCCCTCAAAGTATCTGCTTTATATACATTATTTACACAATGGGCTGCACACATAGGCGCCGACTCCATGGGGCCTGAGGGGGCCCGAGCCCCCTCAAAAATTTTATTGGGGGGCCTCTGCCCCCCAATAATTAAAAAAATTATCGCGCGCCTTGGCTCCCTCGTCGCGCGCCTTGGCTCCCGCGGCCGGCGAGGGGAGCCCGGGCCGCGCGCGGCTGCTGCTGCCGCCTCTCCTGGGGTTGCGCGAGGGAGGAGGGCGGCCCCCGGGGGCTGGGAGAGCCGGGCTGCCGTGGCCGAGAGGGCTGCTCTGCCGGGCGCCGCTGACATAATTTAAGCAAATTATCGCGCGCCTTGGCTCCCGCGGCCGGCGAGGGGAGCCCGGGCCGCGCGCGGCTGCTGCTGCCGCCGCCGTTTGTGGTCATGGCGGAGCTGCCGCCTAGGGAGGAGGGGAG